CGTGGCGCCACTGAGCTAAATCCCCTGCCCAATTTTATACTTTATAATGTTTAGTTTCTATATTATGAAGATTTTTTCTTTTTTTTTTTAAATCAAGGAAAAAGCCTTCATTTGACGATCAGCATGAGAATTTAGTTTCTATCTTACCCATTTCTAAGTTTGCCCCCTAATTATATAGCAGCTATTGGAACTTCTGCATTCAATGCTAAATGCTAAGGAAAGAGGAATATAATGGGTTAGTTTTGCCAGAGACTTTGTCTTTAACATTCAGTCTATGAAAAAATGATCCAAATAAGATTCTATTTATAAATGTGTATATCTTTTATACAGTGATTATCATATACCTCATTGTTACTTTTATAATAAGCTATTAAACTTGTTTTTATGCTTCAGGTAACACAAGACAAAGTTTTGTGCTTCAAGTAATACAATACAGAGCATAGGACACATTTAATGATGAATTATTTGAATATATTTAACCTATGTTTAGGAAAATTTGGACTGCCTTGAAGAGATTGTTTTCAAATTCCGATTTTGACAATTATCTTCCAATTCTCATACATATTCTAATATACTGTATTTTAGGTATTGTGCTAAGTGAAGTTTATAAGTTAGCCTTTTAAAGACTGCTGAATGTGAAAATTTTTTAAAAAGACTGATAGATGTGAACAAAATTCATTACAAAGTTTTCAAAATAAATGTTTACATTAAAAAGTTATGGATACACTTGGATCAATTTCTAAAGTTGCTAGAAGATGAAAAATTGAGATGAGACACTAATTCTTAAGCGGAGGGTGGTAATAACAAAGACATCAAAACCAACTTTTCTTGTGGTGAATTAAACTCAGGGCCTTGTGCACGATTAGTTAGCTGCATCCCCAGCCAAAAAAACAACTCTTTAAGGACAATCTTAGCTGGGTATGGTGGTGCAACACTCTGGAAAGCTGAGGCAGGAAGATTGTGAGTTCAAGCCCAGCCTGGCCAATTTTGTGACTTAGTGAGACTTTGTCTCAGAATTACACAAATTTAAAAAGAGCTGGGGATGTAGGTCAGTGTGAAGGCCCTGGGTTCAATTCCCAGTATTAAAAAAAAATTAACGGCCAGTTTTTCATACATATTAACAGGCCCAAGAATAGTGCTATCTAGCAGAACATAATAGCTGACACGTCAACAATAAGCTTTAGTTGCTAAGTAAAGATTAAATTATGGGCCAAATATTCTAGTTATGCCAGAGAAACACTAAATTTTATGTACATTATCATCAGTGATGGTTTAGTAGAAAAGTTTTAATGTTTAAAGTCTGTCAGTTATCTAGAAAATTCTTTCATGAAACAGATTATTTCCTGACATTACAAAATTTAGATATAATAATTGGTATCAGAGTATAAGGAAACATTACAGATTCACTTGAAATTTTGAAAACTGGCTGGAACACCTATAGTTCTTCATAAAAACTTTTAGAGGCCTAGGAACTCCAGAATGTTATATATGAATTTAAAGGAAATAAATATGTCATTTTTACTTATAAATAGTGCCATAATAGTCACAATGTGCTATACCATAGTCTGGATCTAATATGTCCCCTTGTTTCCTCAAAAGCCCATGTATTAATGACTTGGTGATAAGCCTGTGGTGCTACTGGGAGATGGAACCTTTAAGAAGTGGGGCCTAAGTTAGGTCATCTAGGGTGTCCCCTCAAAGAGGATGTTGGGACCCTGGCTCCTTCCTATTTCCCTCTCTTGCTTCTCATTACCATGAGGGAACAGGACTCTTGGTCATGTTCTCCCACCACAATGTACTGTACTGCCTCAGGTCCTTGGCAACAGGGGTGAGTGACTATGCACTGAAACCTCAGAAACTGTGAGCTAAAATAAACTTTTTTCCTTCTGAGTTTATTATCGCAGGTATTTTGTCACAGTGACAGAAAGCTAATTAACATACAAGAAAAAAAGCAAACTGGCCTACAACAACCTTCTTCTTTTTAAATATCTCCCCTGACTCTTGAAACTAGGTGGAGAAACCATTGTCTTCACTTTCCAACTGTTATATTGCACCTCTTCAAGTTTTATATCTTCTATTCTTGTTTCCTTAATATGAGTATTTCCTGAAGTACAGTCCTTGGCCTTCTGACCTTTCTTTAAGGATGACTCATACATTTTCATATTCAGGGACAGCCTCTTTCCTGAGCTTTAGCCCTGTATTTCTAACAACCTCTATAAATTTTCTCTTGGATATTTCACTACCATCTAAAATTTTACAACTCTATTTGAACTCTGAGCTCATTTTTGTTGTAAAATTAATTTACTATATACTCTTCAGTCCCAATCTCTCAGGTTCAAGAATTGGAGCCTTCCCTGCTTCCTACTCTTCTTTTCTGATCATCTATTCAGTTACTAAGGCCAGTACTATTCAGTTGTTGTAACTTTGACCATGATACCTCTCACCTTCACTACTCAGCACCAAGATTATCACATCTCAACACTCACAGGTTGCTAGGTTAATGTTTCTAAAACATAGTCAGGACTAGTCACAGTTCCATCATTCATTCCACAAATTTTTACTGAATGGTTACTTTACACAAAACACAATGTTTTACACTCTGGAATGTAGAAATGAATTAGACAAAGGTCTGTTTTCAGTCTAATAGGAAGAAAGACTTGTTTGTAAATAATTTTAGCTCAAATTTAGAAAGTGGTAATAACTGAATGCAGAGTTCAGAAAATATAATGGTCATTTGTAAGAAAAATGTATTTCTAGATGGATATATCACTTGTAAAACTTTAGAATTTATGTAGAGATGTGTGTTCTAAAATGAAAAGGGATATAGGCAATTTCAAGGAATGTAATGGATGTTCATGCATGAAGTACTCCACTGATTTACCACAGGCAGAGGGAGAAAGAAAAGGGAAGAGGAGGAAACAGAATTTTAGATTTAAACAATAAATTTGGCCTTTAATCTGCAAGCAACAGGAGCCTCTGAACATCTGGCATTACAGCTGTGCTTCAAAATGACTAAATCTATAGCAGCTACATGTTAGACATGCTGGTAGGGGAGTGACGTTTGAGGAAGGGCACCAATGAGAAAAACCACTGCATTTTCACAGCTCGGGGATGATAGTGAGAACTCTGACTAGGTACAGGTATTGTGTGTGGGGGGCGGGGGGATGCCAGAATGGCTGCAGGGGTAGAGTCCACAGAACTTGGCAAATGACTGAACCACGGAAAGGAAAGGAATCTGTTTATATATCAAAATTTCCAAGTTAGTTTGTATTAGTTGGGAGTGTTGGCAAAGGCCTGTAATCCCAGCACTCTTGTTACTGGACAGCAGCTCTTGTGGGGCTTCTTTCCAAGTTCTTTTGCTCAGTGGCGCCATGCCTGCCTCCCAAGCGCAAGGTCCTGAGTTCAATCCCCAGTACCCAAAAGAAAAAACAAAAAAACAATTGGACAAGATACACAGAAAGGTTTACATTTATCAAAGGTGGGAATGATGCTCTGCACAGTGAAAGTGGGCCAGTGAAAAGGCTTGCAGCAGGCCCCAAGGATACGAGAAAGAGGTCTTTTGTATTCAAAATTCCCTAGTTATTTCCTTCTCATGCAGAAGAGCTGTTGGGGCAGTCTTCCTATCATACACTAACTTGGCATCATATCATGTGTAAATTATATTATCCAATTACTTGGCTTCCAGCCATATGTAAATGAAGGATCAAGACCAGTGTCTCTCGATTAGTTGTACCCACCTGCAAATGAACAATTAAAAAGAGCTTTTTTCTTTTCCCTTTTTTTTTTTGAGTCTCCCCATGTAGTTCAGACTGGCCTTGAACTTGCTGTGATCCTCCTGCCTCAGCCTCCAGAGTGCTGGAATTACAGGCGTGGGATAGCACACCCAGCTTGAAAAAGAGCATCTTCTGATTGGTCCTGTGCACAGCACCAGATTCAAAGGAACGACTGAAACTAGCACTTCTCTTCTGGGTGGCCTCATTTTGGGGTTGGTTCCCTTACCCTGTTGCTTGTCTTCCTCTGGGAGGCTGGGACAGGAGGATCTCAAATTCGAGCCTACCCTGGGCAATTTAGCAACTAAGATAGACCCAGTCTCAAAAAATAAAGAGCTGGGGACAGAGCTCAGGGCAAAAGCCATGTGTTCCATCCACAGAACTATGGGGGGAAGGGGGAGTTAGTGCACAGTCTGGGAAGCAATTTGGGAGGGAAAAGCCAAATTATGTTTTGGGTAATGGGCTGTTTACATATTTGCAGACCATTCAAGAAGAAATATGGCCGGTGATTTAGCTCAGTGGTTCCGCCGCCTGCCTCGCAAGCACAACGTCCCGAGTTCGATCTCCGGTATCAAAAAAGAAGAAGAAATGGCCAAGAGAGGAGGTTTCTGTGAAAAAGGGGCACAAAACGTACCACAGAACCCTTACTAGCGGCTCGCTCAGGCAAGACTGACGTGACCGTGTGGCATCGCTCCAGAAATCCGGTCGCGTCCACGCTTCAGTGTTCCTCAAACTCAGGCAGCAGGCGGCCAGAATGCGCTTTCCCTTCCTTCTGTCCCATCTCCAAGTCAGGGGCGTAGACAGAGGGGAGGTCTTCTTGTCCCGCCACCAAGGAGGCTGACAGTTGAGACGGCAACGCCCACCCGAGGACCTCCACGGCCGCCCGTAAAGCTCAGAGCCCGGCGACAAAATTCGCAACCACTGCCGTAGTAAAAAATAAAAAGGCACACGGAGCGCCAGATATCGCGAGACTGCGCACCGGAAACGGAAGTCAGGTGATTGCGGGACTCCTAGGAAGAGGCTCCATTACCTTGGAGAAACGAAGGGGTCCTTAGTTTGGCTGTGTGGCGGCCCTCTGCGTGTCTCAGTCGGAGCTGGACGGGCACAGCGGCTAGTGGTGAGTGCCCCGTGCGACGCGATGGGGAGGAGGAGCGGGGCAGGCCACGCTGTTTGGCCCGCGAGGTGTCTGGAGTCTCTGCGGTAGTCTGCACCCTTGCAGGACCGAAGCCACTCCTGCAGAGAGCCTCTAGGGTCCCTGCGTCTGGACTGGTACGGCTTTGCGGTAGGGAGCAGATCCATCTAGCTTTAGCAAACAACCCGTGACGTGCTTTTAGGTCAGATTTAATAGCCAGTTGTTTTCAGGTATCTTGGTCTGTTCCAGTGATGGACCTTTTTTTTTTTTTAATTTTTTAAATTTTTTTAGGTACCGGGGATCGAACTCAGGTCCTTGAGCTTGCGCAGCAGGCGGCAAAACCACTGAGCTAAATCCTCGGCCCCTAGTGATGGACCTTTTAGAGCTTGCAATGATACACTCCGCTGCCGCACGCATGCCGTAGGTTTGGCACCATTGATCTGATCTGTGGGATCGCTTTTGAGAGCAGCCAGATCTTGGTTAGTCATTACCACGGTTAGCTGCCCACAGCTAAAGTGCTACATGGTTTTATTTGTATGAATAAATTAGTCCTGTTCGGGTACAGATCTGAGAGGCCGTAGCCTTGTTTTCAACAGAAGAGAATATACCTCATAAAGTTGTTGTGCTTGAACTACCGTGTTGGTTTTGAAAGCCCAGAGGACACGTTTTGTAGCCTCCTCTAGCTCTGTAAGCGTTAGCTCCCTTTTAGGAATATTAGAGTTGGAAGTTAGGGTTAGAGTTAAGGTCCATGATGCAGTGTTCATGTTTGTATTCCAGGCTCCAAGTTAGCAGTGTGTGGAATTTAGTAGTCAAGAAATGTTGGCCAGGCTCTGGGGACTGAACCCAGGGACCCACAAATGCTAGGGAAGCATCTCTACCACTGAACTACACCTCCGGCAGTTTTATTTTTTATCTTGAGATAGGGTCTAAGTTGCCACGCTAGGCTGGAACTTGGCTATCCTTCTTCGTCAGCCTGGGACTAGTATGCCTCCATCACAGCAGGTTTAGAGCACTTCTAATTCAGCCCTTTCACTGAATAAGGCCCTTAAGTTCCCAGCTCTTTTGACCCCCTTCTTTAAAGGGTTTCCTATAAGTGTTTTTCCCCCCTGCACAGATTTAAATATTAAATAGTACTAAATATTAAATAACTGCCTCAAATTTTTGGAGGTAAGCTTGCATCGATTCCAATTCTATTTAAATCCCATTTTATGAATAATGATGTTTGTTTACATGTGTGTTGGAGAGGGAACCTCTGAGAGAATATAAACATAGAGTAGCACATTTTCCTTATGATTTTGCTGCCCATCTGGATTAGGAAGGCTCATCTTTTCTAATGACTTATTGTGATTCCTATGCAAATGGCTATGGGTTTTAATTAGTAAAATTTATTTTACACTCATTTCTTAATTTGAGCACTTGGTATTACGTTGCCAATCCCAGACAAATTGGAAGTAGGATATGTGATAAGACATACTCTCTAAGGTAGAATATCCAGATAATTACATCTTGAGACTTTCCTTTTTCAGCTACCTATAACTCCACATTGCCTACCAGAAAAAAAAAATGCAAAATTGCTTGCATTGAACAGAAAAATTTTCACAGTTTGTTCCCTACTTATTTCTCCAGCCTTATTTCTTGGCATCTTCTGCTTCTCCCTTTATGTTTTGGTTTTTTTAAGACAGGAAGTCCAGGCTGGTCTCACTCAAAATCATCCTGCCTCAGCTTCCGGAGTTCTAGGATTACAGGCATGCACTACGATGCCTGGCTTCTCCTTCAGGTTTATGCCATATCTGTCTTTTCTACTAGACTGAGAGGTCTTTGCAGCCAGGGTACATGATACATTGTTCATGTTTGTATTGAAAAGTCCTAAATAGCACAACCCCTGGAATTTAGGGTCAAGAAATGTTGGCCAGATGTGTTGATGCAAACCTGTAATCCCACCTGCTTGGGAGGTGGAGGTAGGATGATCACAAAGTTCCCTGGGCAACTTCATGAGTCTGAAAAAAAGAAAAAAGAGAGAGAGAAAGAAATGGACTGAATTCTTAAGTTAAATGTGTATGATGCTGCCAAAAATTGTTCACTTCTTTTTCATTATATGGGAAGGTAGTATTTTTAAAAATTTTAATAGAAACTTTTTTTTTTTAACTACAGAATTTCAGGATGACTGACCCTAATAACACTACTCCAAATTTTGAAGAGATGTTTGCAAACAGATTCACAGAAGATGACAAAGAATACCAGGAATATTTGAAACGCCCTCCTGAATCCCCTCCAGTTATTGAGGAATGGAATAACAGAGCTGGTGGGAACCAAAGAAACAGAGGCAATCGGTATGTATTACTTCAGGAGAATAAATGCATGGTGCTCTGGGAGAGGATAACTTTAATCTGCTTGACTCTGGCCAGCGAAAGCAGCAACCAGTGTTTTTAGTATGGTGTACCTGCTGCCAGCTAACAGTGCTTGGCACAGAGTAAATACTGATAAATACTTGCTTTAATATTTTGTCAGCACCATATATTTTTTTTTCCTTGCTGTCCACTCGTATGTTTTTAAATCTTTTTTTAAATGTTCTTTTTGTAGACTGATGTTTTCTTTGCACTTGACTTTAAAAGCTAGTCTTTGTGCGTAATTCCACAGAAAAGGTATTGTTTTGCTGGTGGTGCAAGCCTATAATCCCAGCACTGAGGGGCTAAGGTAGAAGGACTGCAATTCTGAGTCCTGCCTGGGCAACTTAGACCCTATTGCAAAATTTTAAAAGGGCTGGGGATGTAGTGCAGTGGTAGAGTTCCCCAGGGTTCAGTTTCCCAGTACCACAATAAATGAATGAAGTATTGTTTTGATTTTACTTCAGAAATTTATAAAATGGAAATTACTCCTGTTTGATCATTCAGAATAATCAAAGGAATAAATTACCATGCTGATTTTGTACAACTGAATAATTTGTTTGATCCAGAACTATGGTATTGTTTGGGTTTTGTTATTTGCCTATTTCTTTGAAAATTGTATCCAGCATGATCCTGGAAGAATGACTGAATTCTTGGCAAAGTTTTGACTATCTGGTGCTATAGAATTCTCTGTAGAAAAATGTTTTAAAATCTCATTTTAAGGGCTTGGGATTTAGCTCAGTGGTTCCGCTGCCTGCCTCACAAGCACAAGGTTCCGAGTTCGATCCCAAGAACCAAAAAAAAAAAAAATCTCATTTTAGATTTTGTTAGATTGAGAATTCAGATGTGCTTGAAAAGAGTTCTCTCCTATGTGTTGTTTTTGGTTTTGTTTTTTTAACAAAAGAAGTTTAAAAGCCATTTTGTTTTGTTGTTGTAGGTTGCAAGATAACAGACAGTTTAGAGGTAGGGACAGCAGACGAGGGTGGCCAACTGACAATCGATCAAACCAGTGGCATGGAAGATCCTGGGGTAACAATTACCCGCAGCACAGACAAGAGTCTTATTATCCACAGCAGTATGGACAATATGGTTATAACCAGCGGCCTCCCTACAGTTACTACTGATAGAAATATTGGCAACATCTTTTACTAAAACCATTTACTTTGTTAATATAACAAAAACTCGTGTGTGTCCTGTTGATCATAGTTTTCCATCTCATTTTAGAGAATGGATTATTAATGTTTTAGAACTTGAGACTTTTTTAAAAATAGATCTTACAGAGAGATCTAATGGTTGCTGGGAATAACTACTCCCCTAAAAATACTGTGGATTATATTGCTTGACTTCTACTTCAGATTCTTCATTTCAAGACATCATAGTGCTTTGAGTTTGGTATATTTTCCTTGTTTGACCTCCAGAAATTCTGTTTAAGACAGAAATAAAAAATGTAAATAAAAAATGCTTGCTTTTCTGGCCCTGAATCAAGGCCGGCAGTTTTCTGAAGTTGTTGGTTTCAAGCAGGAGCCTAAAGAGATGTCTTTCTATGGTCTGTTGGCCATTTCAGAACTTGGCAAATGGAATGGTCAATTCATTAGAAAGAAACAGTACTAAACAAATTATACCTAGGCATGGTGGTGCATAGCTGTAATACCAGCATTTGGAAGGCTGAGGCAGGAGGATCGCTGCAGTTCGAGGCCAGCCTGGACTGCATTGTGAGACCCTGTCTCAAAAAGCAATCAAACAAAATCTTTATCTCTCTTTATAGTTTTACATTTATTTAAAAATATGTATCAGCATCAAAAGTAAAAAAAAAAAAATGCTTTTACTTTGTAAGATAAAAGGATATCCCTATTAGATTCCAATTCAGCTGTGCTTCTTTCTAAAATTCTACAGAGGTAGTACAATCAGTTCACAAATGCACTGCTATGCTTATTTATGATGTGTAACACCAACATTTGAAAGCTAAAACAATTGTATATTTCTTTTGGCTTCTGTTATATGAGTATGGTACTTTGTGAATGCTTACTCTATAGGTATAGTCAGCTCCACAACTAATTTGGTCTCTTTTTAGAGGAAAATCAAGAATAAAGCTATAAAATGAGGACGGACTCATTCTTATTTTGGGATCTTGATCTGCTGGTGGGTGGAATTAGGGAACACATTGTTTTGTACAAACTAAGGCTTTTTGCTAACTTATAACAGGAAAAAAATTCATGTTACATAAAAGTTTATTCATGTATACTGACTCCTTTTTTTGGGTACTTACATTGTGGGGTGATTTTACAACACTCATTTCCAAATGCATACTTTTGCTGCTTCTCTTTCTGAAAGTACAGTGATGTTGTCACTTCCTTTCAGAGAACTCATTCTATTTCAGATCATTAATGGTTATTACACTGGTTTTATTCATATCAAAGTTTTTAAAAAGATGTATCAACTTTCTGAGTTTTGGCAGTTAGTCCACTTATTATGGTGAGTTTATATAATATATATATAAAATGTATATATATATACACTTTTTTTTTTACTATGTTCATATTTGTTGGAAAGGGCTTAGTTTCAGGGTAGTATTAAAAGTATAGGTTTCATCACGGGTCAAAACAATCGAAGGGCAACTTCTTAAATGTGCTGCCTTTTCTCTTAGCGTTCTGCCTAGGCCAGTGGTGGCAAACCTATGGCACATGTCCCGCAGTGGCCTGTTATCATTGAAAGCTCTAAAAGGTTTGCCATCCCTGGCCTAGGCCCTTGAGATTGACTTCTCTAGGTGCTTCTGCATCCCTCTGTCCCCTCCACTTCTCTTCATGAAGAGCCATCCTTTCAGGTAACTACTGTATTTTATTGGAAAGGATCTAATAAACCAGGTTTTCATACTGAGATGTAAATAAATTTTTAATACAAGATTTTCCCCTGTACCCCTCTAATTATATCAATAGGCAGTAGGCCAAATCTTAATACAACAAATACTTAGAGAGTCAAGAATGACCTGACTGCACCTCAGGATCTTCTCTGAAACCAGAGGGATCATTAAAAATATTATGAACTAAAGAAAAACCAGAACCCAAACACAAAAATATCTATGAACTGATAAACACAAGCATTAACTAGCTAGGACAGCAGCTGAAGAACAGCGCCCTCTGCTGTGCCAGCTGCTAACACCAGGTATGGAGAGCTGCAGACTCAAGAGACAAGACTGGAGTGAGGGATACATTTCAAGATGCTCAGAAATTTTCCAACACTATTTAAATATGTAACATCTGGTACAGCCAGGGTACACATGGCTTGACTATCAGCCCTACTTGAAAAACTAGGGAAAGTCCTTTTAACATGTGTTGTATCTGCATTTTTGCATGAATAATCTCTACTAGTGGTAGCTTTTTGTTCTTTGGCAGCAGCCACTATTAGACTGCCCTATGTGCTTAAAAAAAGGAAGAAATAAAAGCATGGTTTCTGTTTCATAAAACAGTATCATGAAAAAAAATCTGCGCGTGAACAAAAAATTAAAATGTTACATAGAATTTAAAATAGTTTATTGTACTAGCGCACAGCATTAGGCATATGGAGTCCTGGCTTCCAGTCTTGCCTTAAAAAGGTCCATAACCTTGAAAAAAATGACTTAAACTTTAAGATTATTAGCTCACTTGTAAAAGTGGGAACAATACCTACCCTACCACCCTTACAGAAGAGTGACCAAAGGAAGAGCTTAACAATAAAAACTAGAATTATGACCATTAAACCACCAGGGACACATAATAGGTGCAACATAAGCATTTGCTGGAGCAGTGCCAGGAAAGTATGTAAACTGAAGCAGAGTGTTGATACGAAGGACAAAGATTAACTGATAGTAGATAAGGAAGGACAGGAAACCTTGAGAATTAAGCAGATTGTGACTATCTCTTTATGTGAATTTATCTGTGAACTGGAAAAGATAGCAAGTTGTATCCTCCAGGCAATGACAAACATTTCAAATGTGGAAGAAACTTTATGTAAAAGTTGAGCTAAAATTAGCAGCATTTGCTGTTTAAAAATTGGCACTGATTTTAAAATGTCAAATGTTGACTAATGTCCTTTGAGAACAGCTTGGTGGAGACTTGATCTAGAGTCTTTTGTCTTTGGTTAGTTTTTGAGTCCTACAGGGATTTGGGGTGTTCAAGGTGTAATAACCTTGCTATGGGAATAGTGTTTGGCTTCTTGAAACCTTATAGCAAAAAGATGTCCAGGAAGATTCCTAGCAGTGTTTTAGTTTTCAAAGCTGCATTCCTTTTAATGCTCAACAAAGTTGTAGTTTTCCTTTTGTATTTTATGGCTAAAAGGAAACATAAAACTGTGATAGAATTAAGAGTAATGAAGCTCAGTAGTTTTGCCACCTGCTGTGCAAGCACAAGGACCTGAGTTCGATCCCCAGTACCAAAAAAAAGAGTAATGAAATGTCAGTTTCTTTTTTCCCCTTTAAGAAACGGGTCTATGTTGCTCAGAAGTCCTGGGCTCAAAGTGATTCTGCCTCAGCCTACCAAGTAGCTGAGACTACAGGTGTGTGTCCCCACACTGACTGTCAGTTTTAAGTTCACAATGTTAAAACAGAAGGAAATGATCTTTCACTCTGAAGTTACTGACAGCACTAATTTTTAACTCTAATAAAAACACTGTTCCTAAATGCAGTATTTTTACACTTCAAAAATTTTCTACTCTTCTATTTTATTAACTGAACTTGCATTAGCATTCTGTTAAGTAACAAAATACCTGAGCCAAGCAACTTATAAGGAGGAAAGGTTTACTCTGACTTATGGTTTCAGAGGTTTCAGTCCATGGTAAGTTGGCCTCAATGTTCTTGAGCTTGTCAGTTGCATGTGTCAGTTCAGAAGACCTGTTCACCTTGTGGTGGTTTGGAAGTTAGAGACAGGAAAGAGATAGGGTCCCCTCAGTATCTGACTTCCTCCCCACAGGCCCCATTCCTCAAAGGTTCCATCACCTCTCAGTAGTAACATGGGCCAAGGACTTAAGCTTGTACACATGGTCCTTTTGGGAACATGCAAGATCCAAACTGTAGCAGAACCCAAACATAGATTTGAGTATGTATGTACCTATATCTATGCTCTGGGCCACTGACTTAGCACTGTCTATAGTGAGAGAGAAAAATTTTTTCCATAGAAATAACAACTCCCTAGCTGAGGGAGTTTGTTGAGACCACTGGACTTGCTACCTGGAAATGGTAGCTGGGAACGTACTTACTCTACTAATATCAGACAAAGGGAATTATATATAAACTCTTCTATTCACAGAAAAGCCTATTCTGATTTTTTTAGTTATTTTAACCAAAGAAGAATACTGAGTGTATAAATATATATAAGGGCTTTAAAATACTAAATAGGCTTTGGTTAATTTTATGTGAAAAAATTATATGGTTCTGTCTTAGTCACTTTCCTCATCACTGGGACTCAATAACTGACACAAAGGAGGAGAGATTTATTTGGGCTTATGTTTTAGAAGTTTCAATCCTGCACTATCAGCCAGCTCTAAGGCAGGATGGCATGACAGAGACAGTTGGGCACTGGAGAGCTGCAGCTGTCCTGTCCTGGCAGCCGGGAAGCAGAGCAAACGGAGAGTTGGAAGAAGATACACCCTTCCGGGCCATGCTCCCAGACACCCACCTTTTCCTACCAGACTCCACCTACCTGCATCGTATTTAACTATAAACTCCTCAATGAACTAATCCATTGATGACTATCATGCCCCCATGATCCAGTCATCTCCCAAAACCCCCACCTATGAGCACATGAGGCTCTGGGGGGACGTCTAGATATAAACCATAAATAGCATCACTGAAAGAATCTTTCCGGTTTATAAATTTAACAAGGTATGCTTCAAAAATTATCAAGTTTTAAACTTGTAGTGAACTAAGACCAACAGGAGAAAACACTCTTAACCTTGGGAGAAGTTAATATTGCTAGTATTTAGATTAACATTTCAGTATTCAGATATACACAGGTTGACTAAAAAAATATGGTGTGTTTAGATAAAATTTATCACAGTAAAAGACCCACTGCCGTTAATCTCCTTCAATTTACTTCCCCTTGCTTCAAACACACTTACACCATTGTTCTTGATACTTTCTGAAGAAGCTCTGAAGTCCTTTTTGTGAATGTCTTTGAGATACAATAAAAAATATAGTAAATGCTGCTGCTGGCAGGCTCCTAAAAACATCACGGTGTCTCTGCATCCATCTTATTCACCCAATCTGGCATGTGTGATGTCTAGATCTTCCCCAAAGTCAAAATGATGGTGAAAGGTAAATGTTTTGAATTGATTCAGGACATAGAGGCAGCCATGACAGTGCAACTAAAGACATAAAAGTGAACTTCCAAAAATATTTCCGAAAGTGGCAAGAATGATAGGATAAGTGTTCAAAGCAAGGGGTGTGGATTCTGAGGGGGATTAATGATAATCTGACTTTTTTTTTTGGTACCAGGGATTGAACTTGGCACCTTGCACTTGCAAGGCAGGCAGCAGAACCACTGAGCTAAATCCCCAGCCCTGGCAATCTGACTTTTGCTGTAATAAAAAAAAAATTTTCACCATATTCTATCACACCTGTATTTACATTCTGATCCTTTACACAAAGATCTGGCTCCTGCTGTGTTAAATTGTTATGGAAGCCAAGTCAACAAGTCCCACTTGTAGATTAGACCACTAGACTCTCAGGCAACCTTGAGAGCAATTATGTCTTCTTTTCTAGAGGTCTGGTTCTTATCTGCAGGGACTAACTCTTAGGAAAATAAGGATGGGAGGAGAGAGCCCCTGCACTGTGGACATTCTGGGAGAGAATGGTGCAGGGCCAAGCAGGCTGCATGGGTGCCCACAGTCAGGCTGCACCACAAGGAATGAAGAGGAAGTAACTCTCCAGCTGTAACCATGCAAGGCCTTTGGGCACCAGAGAGATTTTCACCTCTAAAAAGCTTGCTTATCTGTTGGATTAGAAAAGCTATAGATAGTACCACTCTGATTTGGATTTATAGGACAGGATAAAAGGAGCGGTTAGCCAAGACAAGCCTTCCATCAAAACCACTAACATGTGACCTGACCACTCCCTGGAGTGAAAGCACAGACATTAAAAGGATGGAATCCTGTCACTGTGGCAACATGGTTGGTACTACAGGACACCGTAAAGTGAAATAAGCCAGGCACAGAAAGACAAATACATGTTCTCATTTGCAGACGCTAAAAGGATGATCCCAGAGAAGTAGAGAATAGAATGGAGTATAAAGCTATGAAGGGGAGTAGGAAGGAGTATAGAGCCAGGGTGGGCAGTAATAAAATATTGTTGAGGGAGGGGAAGCACTTCTAATGCTCTTTAGCATAGTAGGATCACCATAATCTACAGCTACTAATTATGCATCTCAAAATAACCAGAGAAGAGTCTGAAGGTTCCTAACAAATAATATGAGATGGAAATTCTAATTATCTTGATTTGGTTATTATACATATTATACATGTATCAAATTATAATATGGTACCTCATAAGTGCAAATATTATACATCAATTGCAAAATAAAAAATTTTTTGAAAAATCGTCATATATAAAGTAGCACTAGACAAGGCACATAATAGGTGCCTGGCCAGGGTCAGGTTTGTGCCTCCAGAGTTAGAGGGAGCATCTGTGGGTTGACTTGGATGTAAGCAGTTCAGTTCAAAATTTTCATCAGTGTCTTTATAGGCCAGTTCAGCTGGTGTTTTCATTCTTGTTCCTAAGGGGCAGAGCACTCCATGTATTAATTACCAGTTAGATTTTTCTCTGAGTTTCAGTGATTTCTCCCGAGAGGGCATCAGGGGAGGAAGTGATGATGATCTCATGGTTTTTTTCCACTGCCAGCTCCTTTAATTCCCTAAAGAGTCTCCAGGCTCTTTGTCTAAACTAAGTAAATAAACCTGCTCTACTTACTAAAGGCAAAGCTTTGTTGTTTGCATTTTTCTCATTCAAAAATTTCCTTAGTGTACTGTGTATAAAAATAAAAGGTGACAATGAAGCATAAACTATTTGAAGGAATGACTTCTCTTTCATGTGCTTATTAATAAATATTAAATATGATTTTAAAAAATAAAAGGTGAAACATAAAAACAAGTAATTTGTATCCAACCTGTTGCTTCTTTTGCTATATTTTTTCCTTTCTTCCTAATATAGATTATATATTTTATATATACACACATAAAATTTAACAGACTATAATGAACATAACTCTAGGTCAGTAGCTGTAAGTTAAAAACTAATTATTTAATTTTAATATTACATAGTATGGATTTGCTATTGCTTATATGAGAGTGTTTCTTTTTTGCCCATACTAAGGATGTTGCTGTGTAGGTGTGTGTGTGTTTTTATGTATTCTGGGGAATACTCTCCAAAATAGAATTACTGGGTTAAAAGATCAGTTTTATCCAGTCACCAGTTGATGGGCATTTGGGCTATTTCCAAGATTTAGCTATTACAAACTGTGCTACTTTAAACATGGGTGTGCATATATCGCTGTGGTATGATGCTTTTAATTCTTTTGGGAAGATATCCAGGAGGGGAATAGCTGGGTCAAATGGGACCTCTGATCCTAGCTTTTTGAGCTATCTCCATTCTGATTTCCACAGTGGTTGCACCAGTCTACACTCCCACCAACAGTGGAGAAGGGTTACTTTTTCCTCACAACCCCACCAGTATTTGTTATTGGTTGATTTCTTGATAGCAGCCATTCTTTCTGGAGTGAGGTGGAATCTCAGCATTGTTTTCATTTGCATCTCTGCGATGACCAGTGACGTTGAACATTTTTTTTAATGTTTATTTGCTGTTTCTACTTCTTTGTCTGAGAAATGTCTGTTCATTTCAGACACTCATTTTTGGATTGGGTCTTTAAATTTGGGAGTTCTGATTTTTTTTTGGTACCGGGGATCAAACTTGGGTCCTTGTGCTTGTGCAGCAGGCGGTGAAACCACTGAGCTAAATCCCCGGCCCAGGAGTTCTATTTTTTTAATGTTCTTTATATATTCCAGATAGCAGACCTTTTTCTGAGGAACAGCTGGTAAAAATTTTTTCGCATTGTGGATTGTCTCTTCACTCTTGGTGATTTCTCTTGCTGTGCAGAAGCTTTTTAATAAGATAAGTTCCCAGTTGTTTGATTCTTTGTGCCATAAAGAATGAGAAACTAGAGACATTCATGGCTAAATGGATGCGCACTGAGGCCACACTCTTTTAAGTGAAATAGGACACACATGTGTAAATACTGAATAGTTTCTCTAGTGGGGGAAACTGAAAGTATAAATGAGAATCAAAATGTATAACAGATGTGAAATAGGAAGAAAAGGTCCAAAAGGGAAGGGAAAGGGGAAGTGGGAGGGTTAGGCAAAAGGAAAGAAGGGAAAGGAAAAAATAAGAGAAAAGGAAAAAAACAGAAGCAAAGTCTATAAATAGGGAAGGATGGAGGTGATGGGAGGGCCTGGGAATGGGGATAAAATAAGAACCAAGATATATCATGTAAAGGTATAAATTCCCAATGATGAATGTCATCATATTATACACCTAAAATGTACCAATAAATTAAATGAATTTTTTAGAAAAGATAAATTTTAATTTTAAGAAATGTGGGCACTTTTAAAAACACTAGAGGTTCACATTCCCATCAGCAACATGTGTCTCCCTTGCTGTGTGACTTCAACCTTTTGTCTGGATGGTCACAGGCTCTTTTAATCCTTCAAATGACAGAACTATGTTTGTCTACTGATTGCTCTTTGTCATTATTTCTTCAGGATTTTCTTGATTCTATATTTAAATGTTTGTTCTGTCCCATTTCTCTGGTTCTCTTCTTCAGGACCCCTATTATGTGTATGTTGATATTCTTTTTGGACTTCTATAGCTGTCGTTTTCTTTCTTTGCTCATTCTTCTCTCTTGCCCTCTAAATTCCATACCTGACTTTTAGCCTTTTCCCTGTTGTGTTGTTTCTAACATGGCCTTGTTTGTCTGAAGCTGTTGTTTCTTTTTAAATCCAGTTAGCCACATTTCAAGTGCTCAGAAGCTGCTCTTGGATGAGACAGAACAGCTTTCAGATGAATAGAATTACAGGCCTGTAACTCTGATGCCTTGCCTAGCTCTTATTTGCCACAGTGCCCCAATCTCCCTAGGCATCTCTGAGGAAATCGATGGCTTTGAAACAATTTGCAAGCTACTTGACTGTCTGTGTCACCGAGATGAATTTCATGTAGAAATGACCAAGGAGTCTAACTTGTGGCTGTAAAGTTTGGGGATTCATCTGTGTGCAAACTCTATCTATAAAGGGGACTAGATGGACCCTGAGGCAAATAGCTAGGGTTATAAGATACTTAAAAACCCTACCAATTGATTATTAAGAATTTTCTGAAGTCTCTGTGTGCAGATGGTCTTTTTATAGCCCAGAAAGAGTTCCTGGCTATGAAGGGCCATTGTCTCCAGTGTTGATCCAGAACAGACAGGCTGGCTAAAATCTCAGAGGACTCTGGGTGGCTAAGACAGGAGGATTTCAAGTTTGAGCTCAGCCTAGGAAGCTTACTACTTAGTGAGACCTTGTCTCAAAAAAAAAAAAAAAAAAAAGAAGACTGAGGATGTAGCTCAGTGTGAAAGCCCTGAATTCAATCGCTAGTACCAAAAAAAAGTAATAGGTCGTTCCCAGCAACCAGCAAAAATGGGAGCTCCAGTCATGGCTTTCTGATCTCAAGCTCTCTAAGAGCAGCCTTCAAGAGCTCTCCCAAGTGGACAGAATGTACTCACTAGAGGAACCCACTGTACAGCCTATTTTTCAGGTGTGTTCTTCACTTCAAGTGACAAGATTGCATCTTGATTAGAAATTAGTTTCTTCGCAACTGTCCAGCCAAACTGCATTTTCAGAAAGACTATATGGGATTCCTGAAAGATGCACTTAAGGGAAAGTACTCAAGACCGTGCTGACTGCACATGACACTGTCCTGAGATAAACTCCTGAAGATAGGAGGGGTTTACTAAGGGATGTCTCTACAGAGACCAGGTGGATCAGAGTATGTGAGACCCTTGTGGCTGTGCAGAACAGAAATCTTAATAGTGCTGGCTCACTTCAAAGGGAAAGAATTCCTTTCATCAAATTATATGTGGCTCTCTGCTCTGTATTATAGTGCCACCTCTTGGCTGTAAGTGAAAGTCACATTAAAACAATCTGAACTCAGAGCCACGGTGGATCCTAAAATTTATTTTCTGCCTGTTATGGAACTATTTAATCAAATCCCTTGAATCTAAGAGGGGCATACCGGTAGCTCATAGGCCAGAAAACTGCCTTCTAAAATTTGTGAGTTTCTAGCTATCAAACTACATATTGCAAAGGTGCCACTCATATTCTCAGATTCTCTCTCCAGTGTCCAAGAGAGAGGTGTGGCAGCCAACAATCAGGAGTCCAAAATCGGTGCCTACCTCCAAGGCAGAATGAGCCAGGGATCTCCTTCTCTAGTTCTGTCAATGTACAGTGTAAGTACCCAAGTTATTAATTACTGAACCCTTTCTGCAGAGGTGCTTATCTTTTATTATGGCGGGGGGGGGTGACAGGTACAGGGCTAGATCACCAAAGTACGAGTCAGCATAACTTATCTTTCAAACTTCACTTATGGGCTGCCTCAAAGCCAGGATGCTCAGGACAGTACAAGACAAAAAGAAAATATAATCAGGTCAATTTATAGAATGGCTAGCCAGTATTCACTTTAAATTAACGGAGGTGAGCCAGGCTACAGATGTGTTACTAGAACAATGTTATGGAGGTTGGAGATTTCGTGTCCTTGGTGCTTGACCTTACACTTGGATGTACATCAGTATTCTTAGGGAAGACCAAGACCCAGCTGAAGAAAGCTGCATAAGTAAACTGTGGCAGGCCAAGATACCCAAGCCTTCGCTGTAATCTGTCACTCGTGGGCAAAAGCCCTATTTGAAGTCTACCTCACTTACAGGGGAGACAGGACTCTTCTGGAATGTAGCCCTGCTGAAGATTCAACTTAGGGCTTCCCTAGCACCGAGCTACATCCCTAAGCCTTTTAAAAATTTGAGATAGGGTCTCCTTAAGTTGCCCTGGCAGGCCTTGAACTTGTTATCCTCTTGCCTTTGGCTTTTACGTAGCTGGGATTACAGGTGGGCCACCATGCCTGACTCTGACAAGTTTTTTATAATAAAGTGTACTATGATTGTCTCCTGTTAGAAAATCTTGTTATTTTCTAAAGAAAAAAACCTGATTAGACAAAAAAGTTCCCACTTTAAAATATGAGCATTTAAAATGAAGTAAATAGATTACTGCAATGGAAATTGTTGGTTCCCATTCAGCCTCTGTTCTTTTTCTCTCTTTGTAACTTTTCCCAATTTTATTCTGGTACCCATTTCTCTACTCTTTGATTCTAAGTATGACAACCATATTTCTAGTTCTAGGATGGGCCTTAGTTGGCCTAAAATGATTTGGGAATTCTCTCCTGCAGTCACTGGCTCAGGGAACTTACAGCACGGTACATTCCTTGACCACAAGGGCTTGTTCAGAAACTTCCTGTGACCACCAGCACCACCCCTGCCCCATAAAAAAAGAAACTTCAAGTGTCATAACCTGGGCAAGTTATAAGGGGAGGCTGAGTTTTGGGGAGAGAAATACCAGCTTTTCTGAGCTGCCTTTTTTGCCTGCTGGATGGGATGATGTGTGAATGTGAAACCTGTGACATGGCCTTTTCCCTCCGTGAAGGTAACAGGCCTAAGGATGAAGCTGGTATTACTAAACAGACAACTGAGTCAACCTAGCCCCCCAGTCCACCTCTGGACCATAAAGGTATATGAATGTATGAATATATCCTTAATTTTATTTTGTCGCAGTACCAGGAACTGAAACCAGGGCCTCTGCACTGAGCTACATCTCTTTCCCTTTTTACGTCTTGAGACAGGTTCTCAGTTGCCTGGGCTAGGCTCAAACTTGTAATTGTCCTGCCTCAGCCTCCCAGAGGGCTGGGATCATAGGCATGCACCCTTTATAATTTAAGCCAGGTGGATTTGTGCTTCTGTCCCCTGTCCAAGAAAGCATTGCCACAGTGAGCCATGTAAAACCACAAGCCAAGTGCCGTCACAGCACACACCGGAAGGGCTGAATGGGAAAATTCTCAAGCCAAGCCCATCTCCAGCTGAAGCACACAGGAGGTAGGTAGCAGAGCAGCTTAGAAGACAGTGCAGTGAAGTTTAAACCAAGCTCTGCCACTCATGACCACTGTGATCTTGGGCAAGCACCAAACTTCTCCAGTCCTTGGTTTCTATCAACAAAATAAGGGTTGTACCAGAGGAGTAGTTTCTACCTCTCAGCTCTTTTCTCATCAAGAATTTTTTTTATTGGTCCTTCTTACAGATTTTGTATCTTTGATGATCATGTCCATTAGTACCTTTTTCTCACATACTTATTAAAGCACAGAGCTACATATCAGCAAAGGTAATTGTTATTTACTGAATTACTATACCTTGCACTAAGTATGTAAAAAAAAGTATTTATTATCTTTTTCAGCTTTAAAATACACATAATTTCTAACAGGTTTTACAAATGCTGCAAATAGTTTCCAGGTCCTTTTACTTCTTTTAAGAGTCTTTGGTGATTCATAAGAATTACTGGATTTTAAGCCTGTAAGTTATTACTGAGGAGGAAGAAAATTCAGTGACTTCTCAAAAATAATTATTTTTATTTACCTTTTCACAAAATGGTCCATGTAGTTTAGCCAGGCATTTGGTATATGCCTGTAATCCCAGCACTCTGGGAGGCTGAGACAGGAAGAATGCAAGCTCGAGCCTAGCTTGGGCAACCTGGCAAGACTCTGCCTCAAAATTTAAAAAAAGAGATGGGGACGTAGCTCAGTGTAAAAATCTTGGGTTCAATCCCCAGTACCACTAACAAAACAAAACTCCATGTAATCTTTAAAAGACTTAAAAAATCATTTTTGCACTTAGATAAACATCTTTAAATATAAAACTACAAAGTAGTATGATGAGTTCTCCTTTGTCACTTGTAACCTGGATTAGAAGGCAATTCCCAGTGTTCCAGAAACAATGTGGCCATATTATCATTTTAGTTTAGTCAGGATAACTTCATTCAACAAGAAATCAAAGGACCTGGGTTCTAGTTGCCATCTTGTATGGTGTGATCCTGAGTAAGTCTCCCAGCTTCTGGATATCAGAGGCTCAATCACGGTGTGCAAGGAACTCAATCAGGTCATCCTGAATATCCTTTCCAACGGTTATGTTGTAACTTGAAACCAGAGTAACAAGTTTCAGGCTGTTTGGGGTCAGGGATTTTAGAACCTATATTCAACGTATAGTACTTTTAAAATTGTTGTGTTTTTGACATAACAATTTGATTCATATATGTATATAAATATATCTTCTCCTGTTCTTTTGTATATTAAATATATTTTCCTATTTAGCATCCTCTGCATCATTAGGAATAAAAAAGTCCCTCAAGGATGTATTTTTCATTTCTTACTTTATTTTTTTTCAGCTTCCTTTTTTAATTTCTCCAAGATCTCTTCTGGAGTTGTAGAGGCCAAAAGTTTCACCACCTTTTCACGAGATTTACCACCCTGAACCAAAGACAAAAAAGCACTCAACATTGTGATGCTGTCAGGGACAGCAGACATGGTCTTGGTGGGGACCATACAGACAGGCTACCAAAGGCTCAGCTGCACTTACTGGCAGTTTCTGGTCTAACCAAGGATGACCTCTCAGCTTCTACCTTACTACAGATTTTTACACCTTGCCAGGGCCTTTACCTTTATATCTATGGTAATAAAAGCACTCTATAATAATAAAAGCTCTTGGCATTAAAATTTCATAGTTTCAAGTAATTCATTTGTTTAAAAAATAATTTTAAACTACCAAAATAAATACTGTACATTTAAATAAACTTGGTATAAAAATAATTCTAAATGTAAACAAATTGCTATTCTCTATATTGTTAAACATTTTCTAAAAATTCCAAAAATAACCACATACCCAAGTGCTATGATTTCACACGTTCAAAAAGTTCTAAAAGGATTTGTTTTTCAAACATCTTTCAAAGATAAAATGTGAACAGTGATTTATGTCAGTGGGCAGAATCTGCACAGGTCGAAGAGTTGGGAACACCTTTCAGGAGTGTGTCTGTCACAGCAGGTACCTGGGCGGGAAATCAGAAAGGACCTGCAGTAGGTTGAGCAGATGAGAGAAAAGGCCAGATGAGATGGATTTTTAGGTGTAGTTTATTAAAGACTGTGAATGTTGCTGAGAAAAGGCCCGATGAGATGGATTTTTAGGTGCAGTTTATTAAAGACTGTGAATGTAGCTGGGATATGAGCTATATAGTGTAGCACTGGAAAACGAGTAGCTTTAAAGATATAAACATGGCTGAGGCCCACTGTTTCAGTATGTCTAGGGTTATGTCCAGGAACCTGTACTTAGAAATGATTCTCAAGTAATTTTAGTACAAAACCATGGCAGGCATGACTGACTTCACATGAACGACTATCTTCCTAATAAGCTTCTCTGAGCGAGAAAGTCAACGTTGGGTGATCAGAAATATCTGATAGACTCACTAGTGGAGATGACAAACAAGTGGAACCTTTTTCTTTTTTTTAGTGTGGTGATGTCTTTTTTATTAGTATATGTTTACAATACATAATAATTACATTCATCTTGGGAACTGGTATATATAACATCTTAATCATTTTTATTTCCCCTTCCCCCCCCCACCCTCTGACTTCCCCCCACCCCTGGTATGGTGATGTCTTGAAAGAAAAAGTGAGCACGACTGATCTGACAGCAGGTTCAGGAATAGGTTTAGGAGAAAGTGCTAGAAATGATGGCAATTAAGGACTATAAATAAAGAGAATGTATAACCTGAATAAAGACTAAGGCAATAGAAATGGAGACTAAATAGGAAGAATTCACAGATTTTTGTGCTTAAATATGTGAGTTAAACTGGCTTTCCAAATTATTTGAAGAAAACAAATCAATATTTCATGAATCATAGGGCCGGGGATTTAGCTTAGTGGTTTCACTGCCTGCTGCGCAAGCACAAGGACCTGAGTTCAATCCCTGGTACCAAAAAAAAAAATAAAAAAAAAAAATATTTCATGAATCATGGTTGACATGTAATAATCAAAGGTGTTTAAAGAGAGAGACCTACCTTATCTAATACCACATCACTCTTCCTGAGTTCTAAGACCTTGGAAAGATACCGACAGAGCTCAGCGTTGGCCTCTCCCTCTGATGGAGGGGCTGCAATTGCTACGTTTACAGCTTCAGTGGTCAGATCTGGAATGAAATGGTGTGAACTTTATCCCTGAGTTTTCTTTGTAAAATGAGGAAATTTTGTAAAAGGGTTTTGCCAGATTTTCAATTAAAAACTGTCAAATTGGATACAGTTCCCAGTACCAAAACTAAACTAAAACAAAAAACTGTTAGAGTGATTAATCACACTTCAGGGAACATAAACATGATGAATATGCCTCTACCAATACATGAAATAAATTCAGAAAGGAAAACCAAGACTTACCTTACCCTACCCTGCTCACCCTAGCATTCTGAGAAGTGTCTTGGATTTAGGTGGCTGCACTTGCTCTACAGGAAGAACTCAAGCCTGCAGCTGGAGAAGCTGGGCTTCAGCCCCAGCAATGTGTCTGAGGAAGTGCATGGACAAGGCAGCTCACAAGAATGTACACGGATATTCAGGGTTCCATCACGAAAAGGACAACACCAAGCTAGGCTCATCTCTTACATGACACATTTCTTTTTTTGAGACAGGATCTCCCACTGTAGTTCAGGTTGGCCTTGAGCTCACTATGTAGCCCAGGCTGGTCTTGAACTTGAGGCAAGTTCAGCCTTGACCTCTTGAGTACTGGGATCACAGTGGGTGGTGCAACCACACCCCGAGTGACACATATTTTGAATGCTGTTTTTTTGGTACCAGATTAAACTTGGGTCCTTGTGCTTGAGCAGCAGGCAGCGAAACCACTGAGCTAAATCCCCGGCCCTGAATGGTCTTTTTTTTCAGGAGAATTCAGATCAGTGGTTCTCAAATGATTTTAAGTTCACACAGGAATTAATGAAAGGTTGCAGATCACAGGTTTTCTCCCCCTCCTTAGGCCAGCAATCATTAAACTAGACCAAAACGTTTCTTTTTTTCTCTGGTCTGTGCCTCCAGGTTTGGAATAGGATAACCTAAGAATAATCTAGGCCAGAATCCCCAAATCCCAGGCCATGGACTGGTACCTGGAGGAGGGCCAGGTCTCAGGAACAGAACCACAATATGAGGCCAAGTGGTGGATGGGTAAACAAAGCTTCACCTGTATTTATAGCTGCCTGCATTACTGACAGAGCAGCACTTCTGTCAGATCAGTGGTGGATTAGATTCTTAGAGGAACACGAGCCTGACTGTGAACTGTGCATCAGAGGAATCTAGGTTCCATGCTCCCTATAACAATCTATTGTAATAGTTATTTATATCATAAATTATAATAACAGAAATAAAATGCAGAATAAAAAGTAATGTGCTTGAATCATTCCAACCCCTGCCCACCCCAGAAAAAACCATCTTCCACAAAACAGGTCCCTGGTGCCAAAAATATTGGGGACCACTGATCTAGGGTAGTGGTACTTTTTAGAAAGTATAGATAAAGTGGTTTTCATCTAACTTGGTAAAACTTAAATATATTCACTTTCATATACCTTTAACATGAGAACCTAATTTTAAAATGGAGAACCCTCTAACTGCAGATGTAAAAGATATACTCCACTGTCACAGGACAAGTGGTCAGCTAAATGAGGAGGCAGGAGGGTGAAAGGCACAAATCACTATTCCCACAGTCCTATCACAGTGTTCACACATACCTGTCACAGCGTTTTGCTTGGAGCCAGGCTTGGCATGGATGGCTATGGTGACACAACCTTTGGCATCAACTGCCACAGGACCCAATGGAAGAGGTGGTCTCTCTGGTGCCTTGTTCTGGCTGTTACCCTAAAACGAAAACAAGCACACTTTACACGGGTTACAAAATGCGTTCCTACGTATTAAATTTGATCCACCCTACTCACCTTCATCTTGAACCAAAACAAACTAGGCTTATCAGGTTGTCCAGGACCTCCGGACATCTATGCTCTCCCACACACTCACAACTCATCAATTACTCCACGAGACCTTCCCATCAAGCCCCCCAAACTGCTTTTCCCGCGTCAGAGGAAGATCTTACCCTTTATCATTCATCCCCCACCCCCGTACTGAGCTATGTCCCCAGGTCCGGCCCCTCCTCTTAAATTTTAAATTGAGAAAGTCTCACTAGGTTGTCCCTGCAGGGCTTGAACTCGGGGTCCTCTCACTTCAGTCTCCCAGTGCTGGGATGACAGGCATGTGTCACCTCCCTCTCCCAGTTTACTATCTTTGCATATGATGCAGCGCAAACTGAAGTGAGTATATGGGACGGGGAGGAAGGAACATCAGTGACTGATATTTAAAGGCCATGCTTTTCATTCACTCATTAGGGCAGTGGCCGGCGCGCGGATCGATGAGGATGAGTCGGACCCGTGGTCTTAGGACTGTAGTGAGGGAGGGGGGCTGACGAACCCAACACGGTGCACAGCGCTGAGTCCAGAGAGCCCGGGGAGGGCCGGGCAGCGCCGGCGGGAGGCGGCGCAGGGGAGGGTCTGGGGCGCGCTGGAGTCTGCAGCGCAGCGATTGGGACGAGCGCATCCCCCCAAGTGGAAGCGCGCGGCCGGGGGAGAGGCGGCGGCGCCCCGGGCGGGGAACAAGCGGGAGTAGGAACCAAGCTCTGAGACGCGCCACTCGCAAGACTCCGCGTTTCGGGACTGGCCCTGCGGCCCACCTTCTCCGCGCAACGGGACTCGCCACTAGCCTTGCTCGCCGCACCGGCTTTCTTAGGCATCTCTGCACCAAGAGGGGGCCGCACCGAGCCCCAAGCACCCGCTCGTTCCAGAAGATTCCTTAGCCCACTCTTGAAGCTCTGCATCCTATCCCAAGTGGCGGGCGCCGGAAGCCATTTTCTGCGCCTGCGCACGCAGCGAAGGGGCGTGGCCCTAGCGTAACGTGCTTGCGCTCCTATCCGAGATCGCCATCTTGCGCCTGGCGGATGCAAGCCGGCTTCCTGGACTGCAGAGTAGGGTTCTTGAAAGGACTGGAAGAGCCGCAAAGGACGCACAGTCAGTTTTCCGTCACTCCTAAACAGTCCAGCAAAGTCGACAGGGCCCACGGGTACACACAGGTTCCCATCCGCGGCCTGGCTTGAGCACCACCATACACCAACAGCGCGCCTGCTTTGTGCCTAACGCCAAGGGTCCCACAGTGTGCAAGACTGTGACACGTGACATGGCAGGCTGTGAAACTGGAGGAGTGAGCAGAGGAGATCATGGAGTCGCCGAAGGATCTAAAGAGGCCAGGTATCCTCACAGATCAATGTGCTGTTTTAGAAAGCACTAGCTGCAGTATGGCCAGCATGGACCCCCGGAGGTAGGAAGATCTGGGACCTAAGAGGGAAGTGGTGGCCTGAGAGCAGCTGCAGCAGAGATTGAGAGTTGAGCATTGTAAGGATCTTCAGTAACTGGAGCTGTCTGAGCTGGGGGATAATTGGATGTTGGAAGGAGAGCGAAGAGTGAAGGCCCACTCCCAGGTTTGGAGGTGGAAGAGCAGTGTGGGAGTCTGAAGGGATTCAAATTTAGACATAGATGATTAGAACATTGGAGCAGGTATATTAAGGAGATAACTGAATATATATATAACGCAAGCTTGAGAGATCTGGGCTGGTAATAGAGATTCTGGACTCCTCTGAGAAGTGATGGGGATCAAAGTCATGGATGAGCCAGGAGCTTAGTGCTTGGAGCACATCCACCCAGGAATGCACCCTAAGGTCAGGGATAGAAGTCAGCACGGACACTGGTTAGAGGTAGATACAGTGTGATGGCAGCTAAGGGAGGGTACTTAAAGAGCGAGTCTTCAGAAGTGATAAATGTCAGAGAAAGCACGCAAAATAAGGACACTATGTCCACAGGATTTAGAGTGAGTTTCAGTGAAGGAGGAAATAGAAATAAGTGTAGAGAATAATTCAGTGAGTTAACCGTGAAGGAATAACTGGTGTTTGGAGGGGCAGAGAACACACGGAGGGTATTCTTAAAACTGGATGAGTGTTAAGTTTTTGAAAGTTGATAGGAATGAGCCAGGAGAGGAAGTTAGACCCAAGATTACTGAGTTGGGAGATATGAACATGAGTAGAGAGAAGCTGAGGTGCACAAGCAAATCTGGTGGAAGCGGATGGAGTTTCTTTCCATAGGTAAGATGTTGACTGTGTGAGGAGGGACAACCAGGAATACAGATAGGCTTGGACAGCGGCGATAGCCTAGGGTATACAGAGGGGGCTCTGGAGCAACAGAACAACTCATTTGTCTTTTTGTTGTTGTTCTTGTTATTTTTATCTAATTCTATTAATTTTTTTACCCTTAATGGGATCCTTTATCTCACATTTCTTTCATGTTCCTTTTATTTTTCAAGTGTTACTTAATTTTCCCTTTCCCCACCCCTCCATCCTTACTGTTATTAAGCTTTATTTTAGATATTTAATTGATGGTATGTTATTATTGTTGAATTCTTTGCTATTGTTAATGGTAGTATAGTTGTTGCATTTAATAGATACTGTATGTCAATATTTATCTTTTCTATTGTTAAGGGTGGTACTGTGCTAGATCCATTAGGCAGAAAAGACAAAGAAGTATCACTGTTGAACCAAACCTTTGAACAAGTGTGCTACCCCACACAGAATATACCTTCTCAGCAGCACATGGAACTTTCTCCAAAATAGATGACATACAAGTGTGTAGAGCATGCTTAAGAAAATACAAAAGAATCAAAATCCCATTCATATTATTACAGTGCAATGAAATTAGCAATCAGTGGCAAAAGAAACCACAGAAATTATGCAAACATATGCAAACTAAATATACTGACTAATCAGTGGGTCACAGAAAAAATCAAAGAAGAAATTAGACAGTTCCTAGAATGAAACAATAATACCAGTACAACATGTCAGAACCTATGGGACACAATAAAGCAATTCTGATAGGGAAGTTTATAGCTATGAGTGTCCACATTAGAAAAATGGGAAGAAAAAAAAAACCAGAGCGAGCCCAAATAAATAATCTAATGATACACCTCAAGGTCCTAGAAAAAGAACAATCCAAATCTAAAGCTAGTACAAGGAAGGAAGTTATGATTACAGCAGAAATTAATGAAATTGAGACTAAAATAAATACAATGAATTGAGCTGGTTCTTCAAAAGAATAAACAAAATACACTTGATCTTAGCCAAAAGGCCGAGAAGCAATAAGAATAAAAATAGACAAACCCTTAGCCAATCTTACTCCCAAAATGCAAAGATGAATATCGATACAATTAGAAGTGAAAAAGGACAAAATCACCAGACACTGCCCAAATCCAGATTATTAGCAACTACTTTAAAAACCTGTACTCCAATGAATTGGAGAACCCAGTATAAATGGACAGATTCCTATACACAAACTGAGCCAAAATGATAGAAGGACCCTGAATAATTCAATAACAGGCAAAAAAATTGAGGCAGTAATTACAAAAAAAACACCTACCAACTAACAAAACCGCAGGACACAATGAATTCACTACTGACTTCTACAAGAACTTCAGGGAATATCTAACACCAAATCTCACCTCAAACTAATGATATTGAGAGGGAAGGACTACTGCCAAACTCATTCCTGGAAGCTAGCATTACCTTGATTCCAAGGACAGACAAGAACTCAACCAAAAAAAAAATAGGCCAATCTTCTAATAAACGCAGATGCAAAACTCCTAATAAGATACTGGCAAACTGAATGCAACAAATCATTAAAAAGATCACACATAATAACCAAGCAGGCTTCATTTCAGGGAGGCAAGGATGGTTCAAAATATGCAAATCAATAAATGTAAAATACCACAGGACAAAAATCAGAACCAAGGACAAAAATCACAATCATATCAATAAATGCAGAAAAAACTTGACAAAACCCAACATCTCTATTCATGATAAAAACCTTGAAAATAGCCATACAAGGGCCTTATCACAAGGTGATAAAAACCATTTGACAAACCAATGACCAACATCATAGGGAAAAGCTGAAAGTTTTCCCTCTAAAACTAGGAAGCAGACAAGGCTGTCCACTATCACCACCCTTGCTCAATACAATACAAATATTCCTGGTTTAGCAACCTACCTGTTTAACAACTGTTTGGACCCATGACCAGAGTGCAGTATTTGGACTTACGACTTGCCGCTTGGACTTATGACTGTCCCTTTTTTTTTTGTTTCTGGTACAGTTCTGTATATCTTGTTTATAGACTCAATGTCTTTTTTTTTGTACAGTCCACTTTTCAGTATTTTAATTTTTGCTGGTTGTGCTATACAGTACTGTAGTTTTATGTTGTTACACATTACACTACTGCATGTAAGTTATGTGTAGGGGGCCCTGCCCCCCCCCCCGCTGGAACTCTTGAGTGCCTTCTACGGACATGCCCGGGCTTGTTGCAGATCTACCCG